TAGCTTGACAAACAGACGTGTTTACTAAGATCCCATATTTCATCAACCACTCAGGCTTGTTCAACGGCGGTTAACGCCGATCGCTGAGCCAGCAGACTTATTTTTGCACACATTAATTACTGACAATCGCTTTGCAGAAGACAGCACAGTGGCTCTAACTATAGTGACATCTAATCGACACAGAAAAACGTACTTCAAGTCTCATTCCCTTATAAGTAGAGAAGTCATGAATTTAGCATAATATCATCCTGCAGTGTGAAAATCGCCACCGTTAGTCTGGCTGCTAATTCTAAAGTTTAGTGATGTAACGTGGCAGTACTAACTTCCAAACATAATTTTGAAGTGGAGGCTCATAGTTTAAAAAACAGCAGCTTGTATTATATATGAAAGCTCCACAAGCGTTTTATTGCCTAACGTAAGAGAGATGCTCGCTACCATTGACTAGATCAAAACCATATACAGTGACGAAGTCCACTGAATGCCGCAATAATCGTTCGACCAACTGACAAAGTAGCAGCTCATATAAAAGTCCAACAATAACCGAGCATTTCGGTTTTGCAAAAGCAAGGCAACAGTCCAAATAGGATTGGTTGATACAGACATTACTTTGAGTGACAGTGTTAAATTAACTTCCGAACCCAAAATGCAAATCGATTGCTGGTCAAGGGGGGATAGACATCTCATCCTGAATCATGAGTCACAATACTCCAAGTATGTTTCATACGGGAGGCATATTCGTAGCCCAAGATCGAAATCACCACCAGTGTCAGGTTGTCAGAATTGTGTTGAATTATGTAGATTTACTGGTGTCTATGACAAACCGTGAAATTATAGTTTAAAAACAGCAGCTTGTATTATATATGAAAGCTCCACAAGCGTTTTATTGCCTAACGTAAGAGAGATGCTCGCTACCATTGACTAGATCAAAACCATATACAGTGACGAAGTCCACTGAATGCCGCAATAATCGTTCGACCAACTGACAAAGTAGCAGCTCATATAAAAGTCCAACAATAACCGAGCATTTCGGTTTTGCAAAAGCAAGGCAACAGTCCAAATAGGATTGGTTGATACAGACATTACTTTGAGTGACAGTGTTAAATTAACTTCCGAACCCAAAATGCAAATCGATTGCTGGTCAAGGGGGGATAGACATCTCATCCTGAATCATGAGTCACAATACTCCAAGTATGTTTCATACAGGAGGCATATTCGTAGCCCAAGATCGAAATCACCACCAGTGTCAGGTTGTCAGAATTGTGTTGAATTATGTAGATTTACTGGTGTCTATGACAAACCGTGAAATTTAAAATGCTTGAAAAATTGGTGAACATTCGGGTTGTGGGTTGCTGCTCTGGATCCTTAAGTCCCGGACGACTGCTAAAGAAACTTCGATAGTATTGGTTTGGTGTTTAAATTCTGTTAAGCGTAGTTCACTATTCACAACTTCCAATCTTCCAAGCTTCTAGCTCTGTGAAAGCACAAACTGCCTATTGTTGCACAAACCACTTTGCTTGCGAAACTCACGGTGTCTGTAACAGAGTGTGAAGTGAAAATGGCAAATATCCACTTAAAGACAAAGCCTGATAGAAGCTAAGTTCGCAGTTATGTCGGTGACCACATTTTGGGAAGCTCATGCATTTGACATAACATTTTTATCGTTAAAATTAACAGTGAAAGCAGCTAAATTGATTTACTGTAAGATGAAATTATACCACAAAGATTCATTGGTCGTCCGCATTTGGCTTTTGTCTACTCCAACAACGTCTTCGGCCGTACAACCCCAATTTTGTCAGGTACCTAGTCCAAATAGACCATCCTATCAAAGTTATAGGACAAAACCGTATGATGTATGCTGCAGCCTGGTATACTGTTCGCTAGTCGCTAGCGTACGGGACTTGGTGAAATCAGATTCCAGAACAACAGCAACCGACAAGTCCCAAGGCCAAAGAACCATGAGACCCTGTCTGTTCTTCCGCTCAGCACAGCTTGCTCACCTCCTCGCAAGCGTCCATTAGCTGTGTTTTCCAAACAAATGATGAATCCTCTTGAATATGTGACTCGTTTCACACCGGCTCTCAAATTCACACAGCTTGTGCGATGCTTTCGAGTTTCCCGGAAACCTGTGATTTATTGAAAATTGAGTTAGAACAAAGTGAATTGGGGATCGCGAAACTAGAGCATCATTTCACATACGTCGCTGGAATCTCTGCTTTCTGTTAGGAAACTGCAGACGAATGGGGACTGTGTGTTATCATTCAGAACCAATCTCCCAAAGTCGGGCGTAATAAAAATTCGTAGCGAAGAACCTATTCGGTTATAAAACTTTCCACATTGGGAATGAGTGGCTGATTCTCGAACAGTACAACAATCCAGTGAATAAACCAGGTCTTTACATGATTGCCACTGCTTGTCACTTAAATGAAGTCGACCGAAAAAGACGTTGCTTTTAGTGGAAAGGAGACTGATTAGCCCTGCTCGCAAAACATCATATGCACATCCATTCTCCCATTACTAAATGTCTCATGAAATGACTTTGAAACGTGTGATGTTAACTGCTCACCTGGTGGATGATTTAACCGACATCAAACAATTTCCAAATTTAATTTTGATTGCTAGCTTGCTCACACGCCACTGCACGAAAATTCCCAACCTATGTCACCAACACCAAACTGAGATGTCAGCTCCTAAACTGATGACTCATTGTCATACGTGTAGGATAAGCGTCGCTAGTGGGAATGAACGAATCCGATGTCGAAAATATGGCTGTGAATATTCACCACACCCTGTATAATATATTACAACTCCCGGTAGTTTACTATGGTACACGTGGTGTGATTACGCAACACCCATCAACAAAGCAATCGAAAACAAGTAATATCGCATCTATAAGGATCAGAAAATCTGTGCCTGGTGTTACGGCCTATTTGTTCATGTTTTTTGTTCGAGGCTCTTGTATGAAGCAGCATGACCTTTTCGGCGTCGTGTTCAAGACCGTTGAAACTCTGAGGTCTATCGCGCGAAGCGTAGGCATTTAAGTAACCTACCATTATATTTACAAAATGTAATTATCGTACTGGAGAGTATAACTGGCCACATGCTGACCTCAGCTCAGCTTGTGCCTTTCCGTAACAATCTAGTCAGCATTGACTTCTGGTCTGTCGGGAGTTTATGTCCTGTTTCCACGTGAACACAAAACGACCCTAGGTAACTCCCAGGTGTATTCTCGCGTTCAGATAAACACCAGTTTGCGTCTACAAATTGCTTTATTTTATACGGTTTAATGCTGAACTCAGCATTACTACCGTCACACGTTTGGTGAATCCGCGTAATTCTCAAGAAATCCAGGACATCCCCTCAATGAGGGAAAAGTTATGATGATCATGAAAACTTACGATTTTGCTGGGTGAGTGTGTGCAAAGTCGTGAATGTGTGGGATGGGGTAACGATCTGGAGTCGTTATGTTATTTGGTGTACGGTAATCGCCGCAAGGTCTCCAATCTTTTGCAGTTTTCTTTGGGACTATGTGAAGCGGCGAAGCCCAAACACTTTTGGATGGCCGAATGATTCCCAACAGCAGTATAGCGTATGCTGCTTGTTTGGCGATTTTTAGTCTTTCCGGGTGAAGTCGCCTTGGACGTGAGTAAACGGGAGTTCCTCGTGTGTCAGTGTGATGTGATGCAGAGTGTGTCGGTTCTGCTTGATAAAAGTTTGGCCTTAAGAGTTCTGGAAATTCTCGGAGTAAGTCGTGGTAACGAGAAGAGGCGTGTGGTGCTAACGTTACTGGGCAAATGTTCGGCGTAACTGTGCCGTTTGCCGCCCTCAATGTGAGCGGGGAGGGCGTCAGTTTGGAGTCCGTAGCGGTTACAGGTATTACGCTAATATTAGCACCTGTGTCGACCAGAAAGCGGAGACCAGAGTTCCTATCTAGGAGAAGGAGACGGCGAGAGTTGTAATCTAGGCCAGGGACACTACTCGCCTCTACTGTCCGGCCTGTTCGTTTCCCGATTGAAAACTCCCTGCAGGTGATGATACCCGAAATGAACAAGGTTTTATGCATTTTCGAGCAGATCGACCGAACCGGGTGTGATACCAGCAGTACCCCTGGGAACGTTTAGAGGAAAGAGAACGATGTCGCTTGTATGCAGGCTGAGGCGTAGATCGACGACGTTGAAAAAGACCAAAACGAATAGCAGCTATTTGATTAGCGAGCTCATCGAGACGAGCATTGGTTGAGGAAACTGTGTTAGACGAGTCGAGGGAATTGATATTTGAAGTAGAAGACTGTATATCGAGTATTTTATCGGCGATACTTGCCCGTTGCGTCAAAGGGACGTTATCTGTATCCGGAGCGAGAATCGGCTGCACATGTGTTAGTAAACGTTTGAGGAAGAGCTGCTTGAGCAACGCGTCATTGATCTTTCTGTCACCCAAAATGCTGTAAAGTCGGCGTAAGAATTGGGACGGTGTACAACCATCTAGTGTTTCACCGCTTATCAGTTGTTCTAGGCGTTTATGTTCGGATAATGCAGTTCGCGCAATTAATGTATTTCTAAGTTGTGGAAATGGTTGGGAGTTATCCGGTGCCATAAGAATATCGCGTAAATCTGCCGCTATTTCAGGAGGTAGAACTGATAAAACATGGTAATACATAGTGTGCTCCTGGGTGATTCCTCTAAGGGCGAATTGAGCCTGCACTTGAGTAAACTAGATGTACGGATCATGGTGCCAGAACGGAGGTAGGTGAACAGATGCGGCGTTGATATTTGGCTGAGGTAATATGGAGTTTGGTGACCGAGCCATGGGTGTGTTGGACATGAATATGGAAGTCCAAATGAAAAAAAAACATCAGAAGTTACGAGAGTTCACAAACGTCGGGGTCACCAATTTGTTAATGCACTAACGGAACCCGAAAACTAGTTATACGAACGAGAAAACGGGGAGAACTAACAAAATCAGCTTGTTGAGTAAAAATTATTACAGTAGGTGTATATGCGTACAAGGGGACTTATCGTATTGCAGATTAAGGTTGGTAAATCCTGTTGTGAGTCCGGATGCAGGTATCGTGTGCTTCGCTGTTGTGGCACCCACACGTATTCCTGAAAATCCGTGAGTGAAACGCCGTAATTCCCAAGCGGCTCTGCTCCGAGCTGGGTGACGTGCGAAGCTCCGTTGAATTGATTCATGTTGCTGTGCTGGCATCCTACTTGTAGGACGTTTGCGTGTGTGTGGGTATCAGCACATGACTTGTTGCTACCGTATCAGACGGTAGACAGTCGATATCGGATGAGTCATCCTTGTGTATCGTGGTTTGTACGTGTATGGAAAAAACGAGGTCTTAGGACCTAGGGCTTGACTGTGAGCTGTGTAGTCAAGTTAGTCACGATTGTGTGGCGTGATTTGTGAGTGCAAGGAAAAAAGATAGATCTCGTGATCCAGCAAGTGGCGGTGACCTGTACAATCATATATATGGTGAAAGTGTAGCTACAGATGCAGTAAGCGAAATCTCTTCCAAAATCTAAATACGAATGCTTTCAAAACTGAAGTGCGTAAGACGCAGTTGCAAAGATCATACTTGACCGCTTTCACGTCTATTGAACACGAACAGCCAGAGAACTTGCCAAGATGTTTAAATTACGCTTGAGTTATTTCGGGAATGGAAGTGACGTCCACCGTGGCACAGTACAGTGAAATTAGGGTTATCTACTGCATCCTAGGATCACCTTCAAATCCACTTTGTTCGTTTAGCCCATACGCCTCAGCCATAACCTGCTCATTGCGCACGTTTGCATGCCACAAAAATTATATATACAACGAGTCTGTCATCTTTGTCTTTACCGTTATCTTCTTCACAAGCGCAAAGTTGATCAGAAACTTAAACTGGTTGATTTTTATTATTATAAGATTTGTCATGGTCGCATTTACATATGAGGGTTGAACGGACACCGTAGTAATGCCGCCAATCACCGATTCAAGTGCAAACTTGACATTCATCGTTGCTTCACGAGTTTTTTTCGCCGCTTGAGGTATTTAAAACTATGAACCTTCTAAGCAACCACAAACATTCTCTATGGACCAGCTACTTTGGCCAATTTACCGGCGGTTACTTTGAATCTTTGTGCCACTAGATCTATGTTTAGGTACATCCTTTTTACCGACCATCGCTTCTCAACAGAAAGTAAAATGGCTTTCAACACCATTGACTCCTGATCGACCAAGAGAAACGTATTACCTAATTAACACCTGCATAGGCCGCCTCCGCGTCAGCAATAGAATCTGGAATTACACGTGATTTGCAAGCTTTCATAAACTTGGTGGTAAATCTCATTTGGATATTGTCACCGGCCTCGGTACGGATTTGTTTGATTGAACTGAGTGACAAATGTGTGTAGTCTGAGAACAAAGATAAAACGTACAAGCGGTCATCATGTTTTTGTCCAAAATGCGACAAAGCGTTGCATCAAAATGTTCATAACACTAAAAGGGCGGCTGATGTTTCTTGGGAATGTAGTTTAGATCTGCAAAAACAGACAACCGCAATTGCTTTGCCTCATGAATAGCTCTAAGTGCGACGAAAACAGTTTACTAAAGGAGCACAACTAGTATAAAATTTGGCAGGTGTAGTTACAAATCAAAATCACGACAGGTGGTCGTTCTGATCCCAATATATGACAGAAACGTAACCCAGAAAACTCGAAACCCAGGACAGAAGTGGCTTAGTCTGACCGAATAGGAATTGGAATCGGAAGTTAATTTCATTTGCGCAAGACGAAACGTTGCAACATCTAGGTCATATAAACGGCTAGCAGTCGAGTCGGATGCATCGGTCAGACCTTAGAACAACGAGGAGCGATATCCTGGGAAAAAAATAATTTTCTTGCCGAAAACCATCAATCAGTCTAATAAGTGTGACAAAAATGGGTTTCTCCATGTAAGTGGAGCCAACATTTGCTGAAAAGTGAAGAAGCATTATACAGCGGTCTCATCCCTATAGGGAACCATCTGCAGTATGCAGCTCAAAAACATCCAGGAGGTTACCAACCTGTGACTAACCGGCCAGTAGTTTGAACGCCCAACTGCTCGGCTAAGAACCGCTGGTCTGCATTGCAATTTATTTATACTTAGGAGGAATGTAGTGCCATTCAATCGTCAATCTCTAAATCCACCCATTGTGATCAGGATGCCAGACAACAGTTGACGAAGAGAATTTCAGTAGGGCGTGAGATACGTTTTTTAATTTTGGCAAATGCTCCCGCTCTAATCTCTATAATTTGCACTCAGTGTTCCCCTCATAAAAGTACAGATATACACATTATGAGGTTTTGAAGAAAGAACAAGTTGCAGCAGTATTTTTCAGCAGAAACGGTGATATACAAAATCAAACTTATTTTTATCAAAATAGAATGCATGCATATGATTCTCTAGAAAAGCAGCATGTGTAAGATGGCAACGGATCAAGGTTTTGCAAACCAAAAAACTACAACCGATTCATCTGTTGTTAAATGGCAAATATACACTCATCTGAAAACTAACTTGGTTTTTCAAGAGACTCACCTGTAACCACCTGAACCTCTCGTTTGTGATATTCTCGGGCAACTGACGGATTTTCAGCAACCTTATGAGTAGTACAGTACAAAGATACACATGTATCGTGATATTTCCAATATCGTATCGACTGAAACATGGGGCGGCCTGGTGCAGCACATTCAGTTGCCTGAGAACAACACAAACGAGAGATCCAGTTGGGTTCCAAATGAGTCTCCCGAAAAACCAAATTAGTTTTCAAATGAGTGTATATTGGCGGATTTCGTACAATTTGGTTTCAAGTAGAACATAAGGATGACGGAAACCCGGGGACCGCGCCCACCTGATGAGCNCCAAAAAGGGCGGAACCGGTTGTGGGCTGTCGACGGATTTTCAGCAACCTTATGAGCAGTACCTTACGGAGGTGTTAAATCGTTTGTCTATCATTTTCAGCAGAGTTGCTATCGGTTTGCTTGATCGAACTGATGTGTGTTCCGACAACGCAGTTGCAAAGTAAAATCCGTCTCCATAGTTTGGTGATCCAGTCAGTCATGCGACCAGCGTTAAAACGAGAATTTGAAGTGCAGACAAATATTTCATGGCAAGGTATTTAGAGTGGCAGAAGTCGGTGTACCCTCAAATGCTTTGCCACATAAATAGCTCGAAGTGCAGTGTAAACAATCTACTGAGGCATAATAAGTAGCATCAAATTAGCTGAAAGCAATTAACTACTAAAATCAGGATTGAGGTCTGGACGTAATACACTATATATGTTTGCTGAAAACCTTTCGACAGCCCACGACCGCTTCTACCCTCCTTGGGATTCATCAAATAGGTATAGTCATCCAGTTGCCGTCAACCTCATGTTCTACTTTAATCGAGATATCTCGAATATCGAACCTACTGAAACATCATAAACGAGAAGTTCAGCTGGGTGAGTCCAGGTGAGTCGCAAAGCGCAATGTAAAATATGAGGTCTTGAAGGAGGAACAAATTGCAGTACAGTTGTTCAGCGGGAATCGTTTTGAAAATTGTAGCGTTCGTGATAGTTGTGTAAGAGCAACTTGGATCCGGAGGTTAGGTGGATTCTCGGACGGCTGTCTTTCAGACGGTGCTTCAAGTGGAAGTGGTCAATCACCGTAGTCGGAATGCATTTGGCTTGGCTGTTTATAGTTAATCTTGTCTGACAATCCTGTTGTGATTCTATGCAACACCACAGATCACACTGGACCTCTGGAAAACTTAGACCTTTCAAATTAAACAGAAACTTTTATTTAAATGGCTTTCGAGTCACTATGGAACAACTAGTCATCCACTTTACCGTCAACCAATAGTTGCGCCAACCTCAAAGCGGAAAAAATACATATAGATATTTTTTGATCAAGATCTTCGAGTTAGCCGTAGCTTCCAAAGCTTTGCACATGTGATACACTGAAAGGACTAGACCCCAGACTCAACCCAACTTCGTACAGGTTTCGCCTAGTCACTTATTGAAACACTACCATGCCAAAGTTTTCTAGCTACATCATACAGTAGCTCACCCGTGAGAAAAGACGATGTTGATTGACCTACTTTCTGTCTTTTGACCTATTCAATCGTTTAGACGAAGATTTTTCTAGGGAAAACCGCTACCCAGCAATACATTATTCAAGTGCTTCCAAAAATTCCTTTAGCACACACCCGGAGGCTTTTTATCCACTCATTCTGCTCAATGATGCCATGTCAAATATGAGGTTTTTCCATGCCCATCCGGGCGCTTGTATGGATCATCTAAAAATGATTGATCATAGGATACCACCTATACATTGTAGTGAACCCGAAATCCATCGAAATCGGCACTCAACGATGAACATATGGCTATCTACAGCATCTTGGGACCGACTCTAAACCACTTTGTTCGTTTAGCCCAATCTACCCCGCCAAAATGAACTCATTACGTACGTTTGCATGCCACGAAGATTATATCTACGACGAGTCTGTCCACCTTAAGTTTACCACTGATATCTTCACAAGCACAAACTTGGAGAGCATCCTAAACTAGTTGATTTGTGTTATCACAAGATACCTGAACTTCAAGGATGTTCCTCTTGCTCGTGTCGCCCTCATTTGCACAAATGGGTTAGGAGGAATACAGTATTAATGCCCTTAACCACGGATTCAAGTGCAAACTTGACCTTCATCGATGCTTCACACGAACTCCTTCCCGCTTACGGCATGTAAATATTTGACCCCTTAACCACAGAGGCTTCCTATGAATCAGCTGTTGAAACTTTGCGAGAAATTTATGTGCAGATATGCCCGCATATAGATGTACAAATATAAATATTCATGCACCATCTTTTGAATACTTCCAAGCAAGGCGAAGCTCAATATCTTGATTGGTTTTCGCAAAAGCTCCTCAGTTTTTTGCTGGATTGCCGCTTTACGGCCGTTAGCGCAGAACACAATAGTGATGAATGATTCCAAGGCGCGTTTATTCCTGGCCTTCATTTGAACATTATTTGTCAAAGGCTGTTGGAACATAAGTCGCCAGACTTTAAAAACGCCTACGACCATGCAAAGTCCCTCGAACGGGCGCAAAAACAGTCGCGGTTGCTTTTGCCGGACAATCAACTTCCCTGAGCTACCGTATCGGATGACTCTTCAAGGTCTTCACGTTCTT